CATGAAATGAACAAACCTAAGAGAGGTCTACCCAAGGTACATATACACCAAGTATCAAAGCATTCAGGCTTGTAGTTTTCAAGAAGAAGTCGAAAAAGTAAAACATTGACACGGACGACGGACGACGGACGACGACGACGGACGACGACGACGGACAATCACTCATATGATAAGCTCCGCTCGACAAAGTCGACAGCGGAGCTAATAAAACTTATCCTGTTACATGAACTTCTCTTACTCATTAGTTTTAAAACTTCAACTAAAGTGTAAGTTAAGTTAATAAAGCTATCTTTATCATACACTATTAACGCCATTATCTGAAGGTGTAGACAAGATATGCAGTAGGCATAAATAGTCGTCATAGTTACACTTGACTACCGGGGTATATCTGCTACACTAAAATGAAACTCAAACATCAACATAAATTGTAATGAATTGGCAACATTATTCATTTAAACTCAGAACCAAAATAGTTCTAGTCTGTTTTCAAAGCAATAAGGGTTTGTGTTTTTTTGTCAAAAATTCTGACCAAAATCTGAATACAAATCATTGATGTGCATCTTTATAACTTAAGTATGGGATGACCAGAAACATGAATATATTTATTTTTGGCCTTTAGCCAGGCCCCCAAAATAACTTGCTTCATAGATTAGTTACTTGTACAATTTCAAAGTTTGTTGTTTTTGGTTTGGGAATATTCTTTGCTCTGTGCATTATGAACTAAAAAAAAATAACTTCCTCTTGAAAATTTGGTTTCTGAGGGTCGAGCCTTTTTCGCATGACCTTAACAGCTTTTCTACTCCTGACTTTTAATAACCTTTGAACTCTTGATCCTTAACCTTTGGTAGTCACAAAAACAAAATCACTTTTCAAAACAAGTTATATCATTTGTTGACAGTAAGCAGCAATTACCATGCAGTAACCCATGCAATAATGTATATGTGTGTGTGTTTATTACTGATACTCATACGTTTTGTAATACACTAGTACATTTAAATAAATTGTAACAGTTTGCAGTCAAAACAAATATGCCATGTTTGGGTACTCATTCACTCATGTCCCACTGCATTATAATTCACAATTTTGAAATATCAGAAGCCATTTGATGGAAATCAGCATATCTGCAAACATAGCAATTAGCATATTAAAAACTCTAAAAGCCGATTTAACTGATTTCAAACATTGGCAAGACACGTACAAGCAGATCTTCTATTGTAGGCAAGATAAAGCTCTATGTAGAATAGTGCATACCGCAGGGTAATATACATATTTAAGGTTGTCAAATATTTAAATTAAAAAAAATATTTCAGTTTTTTAGAATTTCTTTCGTTGCTGTAGCAACAAAAAAGGTCGAGTGCATTTTAAATTACAATAAGAAAACCGTGAACATCTTTAATCAAAATCAGTGAATTTTTTAAGAAATTTTCATATCTCTTTTTAATTTCTGTTTTACAATTTTGGCAATTTCTTAAAATACCTTGGACTATATTTTGGTCATAATAAAACAGGTCATAATAAAAACAGATGCTTTTATACATCTTAATTGATACTTCAACTAAAAACAAGGCACTTTTAATATGAAACCCATCTACACGGATGCTAACACTACAAATAAACAGTCCCAGTATACCTATGCCAATCTACAATTAAAAACAGCTTAATAGTAGTAATTAATAAAAATGATTTTCATAGACCATACCATGTAGCATGAACATTCAGTGTAAACAATTTGTCTTCTAATGAAAAAAAAGCTACATATTTTACGAGTACACATACAGCCATAATATAAATCTATATAAATATACAATGTTTATATTTTTTATCTAATATTATAAAATGGAAGACAGTACTAAGTAAACTTGGCATTCAAAAATATTTATCTTAACTGCTATAGTAAATGTGCGGGGAATTTGATAAAAAAACGCATTTTGTCCTTGTCAGTGCAAATGATCATTACTACAAACATACATATCCAGGGAATAAAAAAAATTAAATACGATTTGCACAATTTGACTTATGCATTAGGTTTGTGTTAAAAACAAAACAGATATTAGGAGTCACAGCTTATGTTATTAGCATCAATTACCTAAAACAGAAAAAATTTTTTTTTTAGAATATCTGTTTTTCTCAAATTACAAACAATTTTAATTACAAAATGTTTCTCTCCAGAAAAGATTCATTATGCGTGGTTACCACATGACAAAGCAAGTCTTCTCTTATGCTTGGCCACACACAGGGCAAAGGATGTCTTCTCTTATGCTTGGCCACACACAGGGCAAAGGATGTCTTCTCTTATGCTTGGCCACACACAGGGCAAAGGAT